AGAGCACGATTTTATACACACATCCCTTACCAATCACAAATCTTCATTCTAGTATCTCTAGATCATTCGATTTAAAAATATGAATTTAAAAGTGTAACAGTACAATGAAGAGAAAAGGCACTAGACTAGTAGGCAGGAAAACCATTTGCTCATCCAATTCTGGCACAAAGTAACCGTATGACCTAGAGCAGGTCATTTAACTTCCATTTTAACTCAGTTTCAACTACAGTAAAATACAGTGATAGGGTTAAATAGTCTTTGCCAGTTTTAGCTCTAAGAGGCTATACTTCCACAATTTCACCTTGTTCTCTTCCTTTAAAAATCAGGTGGGAAATATAAGGGTCACCAAAACTGACATATCATGGAATGTGGAAATATACTAATTGATGGCTAAGTGTTGGAATAAAGACAACTCACTGGCCAGAGTACACAATGCAAGGTATGAGTTTCTGATAAAAGCAAATCTTTGGCCCAGTATCCAATAGAGCAGTGGTACCCAACCTTTTTGGCACCACGGACTGGTTTCATGGAAGATAATTTTTCCTCAAACCAGGGTCTGGGGGTGGGAGGGGGATGGTTTAGGAATGATTCAAGCACATTACATGTATTGTATACTTTACTTCTATTATTATTACATTGTAATATATAAGGAAATAATTACACAACTCACTATACCCTAGAATCAGTAGGAGCCCTGAGCTTGGTTCCTACAACTAATGCCATTGCTGACCTGAGAGGAGGCGGAGCTCAGGCAGTGATGCGAGCAATGGGGAGCGGCTGTAAATCAGATTAAATTTCGCTTGCTCACCTACTGCTCACATACTGCTATGCGGCCCAGTTTCTAACAGGCCACCAGTCCAGGGATGGGGACCACAGTGATAGAGGGAAAGAAAAAAAAACAAAAAACAAAAAAACGCCTTGTTGCTTCTCCAAATTAATTTCTTTAAAAATCACAATTGCTTTTTGTGATGATTCTTTCTGTTGCGAATGCCGAATGCCATAGTCTTCTCCACCCATCTTCCCTCATTCTACCTCTGAATGAATATCCAAACAGGCAACATCTCACCAAAATCTACCATATCTCCCCATAAAGCAGGAATGATACCTTCACAGAGACTTCTCTAATTTCCCTAAGCACTTCAGAACTTCAATAATACTTCATATCTACTCATATGTCCCTTATCTCTTCCCAACTCACACCTTCCAAACTGGATGATAAGTCTCATCTAATTTAGCTTTGAATCCCCGACAAAATACAATATAGTACCTTCCACAAAAATACATGTTTGACTAGTGGAACAAAAATATTAATAGTTATAAACTCCAACCCAAGGAATTTTAAATTCCTGAGTTCTAAAAGTACAAAACAAGCCCATAGCGTTTGTTAAATATTTTAACTTTTTTTTTCTTTTTTGGCCTCTATCCCAGTTCCTACAGGCCAAAGAAGCTCACAGCTACCACTTCAGAAAGTCATTGTGATCCATAAGTCTATGTGTAAAATAA